TCTGTGTGTGTGTGTGTGTGTGTGTGTGTGTGTGTGTGCATGCACACATGCAATATACCATCATACCTGGAATCTCTCTATTTGGGAGCTAAGACAGAAGGGTCATTATAAGTTTGAGACCTTTTATGCTACATGAAAAAGAATGCTCAAGAGGACCACATCAAAAGGTGATGTCTGCATGAACACAAATGAAAGTTCAGTCCATGAGCTCCTTTGTTTTTTTCCCCATCTTTTCTTTATTTGAATTAGAAACAAGATTGTTTTACATGCCACTCTCAGTTTCCACTTCCTCCCCTCCTCCCCTACCATGCCCCCCAACTAACACCCTACCTATCACATATCCTTTCTACCTCCCCAGGGAGGGTGAGACCTTCCATAGGGTGTCATCAGAGTCTATCATATCCTTTGGGATAGGGCCTAGGCCCACCCCTGGGTGTCTTGGCTCAGGGAGTATTCCTCTATGTGAACTGGGCTCCCAAAGCCCACACCTGTGCTAGTGATAAGTACTGAATTAATATATGAGGTACTGTACATTTCTGAGGTCTCCTCATTGAAACACACATTCCGGAAGTCTGGATCAGTCCCATGCTGGTATCCCAGCTGTCAGTCTGGGGATCAAGAACTCCCCGTTGTTCAGGTCAGCTGTTTCTGTGGGTTTCACAAGCCTGGTCTGGACCCCTTTGCTCATCACTCATTCTTCTCTGCAACTGGATTCCAGTTTAGTTCAGTGATTAGCTCTGCTTCTACTTCCACAAGCTGCTAAAGGGTGGTATAAAAGACAGTCATCAATCTCATTATCAGGGAAGGGCATTTAAGGTAGACTTTCTTCTGTTGCTTAGATGTTATTTGGTGTCATCTTTGTAGATCTCCAGACCTTTTCCCAGTGCCTGATTTCTCTGCAAACCTAAAATGTCTCCCTGTATTATGGTATCTCCTTTCTTGTTTTCTTCTATTCTTCCCCCGACTCAACCTTTCTGCTCCCTCATATCCTCCTCACCCCTCCTATTCTCCCCTTCTCATTCTCCTAGCTCCTTCCCCCCTCCTCCCTTGCTCCCAATTTGCTAAGGAGATCTTGTCCCTTTTCCCATCTCCAGGGGACCATGTATGTCTCTCTTAAGGTCCTCCTTGTTTACTAGCTTTTCTGCCAGTGTGGATTGTAGGCTTGTAATCCTTTGAAATATGTCTAAAATCCACATATGAGTGAGCAAATACCACATTTGCCCCTTTGTGATTGGGTTACCTCACTCAGACTGGTCTCATATATTTTGATCAATTTTCCTGCAACTTGAGTAGTACTAGTACTCCATTGTGTAAATGTACCACATTTTCTCTATCCATTCTTCAGTTGAGGGGCATCTAGGTTGCTTCCAGTTTCTGGCTACTACAAATAGTGCTGCTATGAACATTGATGAACAATTGTCCTTGTTGTAGGAATGTGCTTCTTTTGGGTATATGCCTAAGAGTGGGATTGCTGGATCTTGTGGTAGACTGATTCCTATTTTCCTAAAAGTTGCCATACTGAATTACAAAGTGGCTGTACAAGTTGGCACTCACACCAGTAGTGAAGTGTTCCTCTTTCTCCATGTCCTCTCCAGCATAAACTATCATTGGTGTTTTTGACCATTCTGACAGGAAGTAAGATGGTATCTCAGATTTGTTTTGATTTGCATTTCCCTGATGGCTAAGGATGTTGAAGACTTTCTTATGTGCTTCTCAGCCATTTTAGATTCCTCTACTGAGAATTGTCTATTTAGTTCTGTACCCCACTTTTTAATTGGATTATTTGGTGTTTTGGAGACTATCTTCTTGAGTTCTTTGTATATTTTGGATATCAGCCCTCTGTCAGATGTGGGGTTGGTGAATATCTTTTCCCAGTCTGTGGGCTGCTGTTTTGTCTTACAGATTGTGTCCTTAGCCTTACAGAAGCTTCTCAGTTTCAGGAGGTCCCATTTATCAATTATTGATCTCAGTGTCTGTGCTACTGGCGTAATGTTCAGGAATCGGTATCCTCTATCAATTAATTCAAGGGTATTTCCCATTTTGTCTTCTAATAGGCTCAGTGTGGTTGAATTGATGTTGAGGTCTATGATCCATTTGGACTTAAATTTTGTGCATGGTTATAGACATGGATCTATGTGCAGTCTTCTACATTCCAGTATCCAGTTATGCCAGCACCATTTGTTGAAGATGCTTTCTTTATTCCATCATATAAATTTAGCTTGTTTGTCAAAAATCAAGTGTTCGTAGGTGTGTGGGTAAATATCAGGCTTTTCACCTCTATTCCATTGGTCTACCTGTCTATTTTTGTGTCAATACCAAGCTGTTTTCAGGACTATAGCTCTGTAATAGAGGTTGAAGTCAGGGATGGTGATGTCTCCAGATGTTCCTTTATTGTACAGGGTAGTTTTGGCTGTCCTGGGTCTTTGTTTTTCCATATAAAGTTGACAATTGTTTTCTCAACATCTTTGAAGAATTGTGCTGGGATTTTGATGGGGATTGCATTGTATCTGTAGATTGCTTTTGACAAGACTGCCATTTTTACTACGTTGATGCAACCTATCCAAGAACATGGGAGATCTTTCCATTTTCTGGTATCTTCTTTAATTTCTTTCTTTAGAAACTCAAAATTCTTATGGTACAGGTCTTTCACTTTTTTGGTTAGCATTACCCCCAGGTATTTTATGTTGTTTGTGGCAATTGTAAAGGGTTATGTTTCTCTGATTTCTTTCTCCATGAATGTATCATCTGTA